ATACAACCTCAATACAAATTAGTAAACTAAATGTGAGATTGTAGTCCATCATGGGAGCCAGTTTGAAGCAGTACCTACCTACAACACCCTCCAGAAGGAAGGACAGTTTTATCACCAATTCAGAGATGATTATAGGTTCTACAGCCAAGTGATACACAAATAAGATACATTTTTATTAATAGTTAAGGCACTTGAATGCATTTTTAATGCTGTAAATCAAATCACAAAATCTCTAATAATTATGTTAAACTCCACTTAATACAAATATAAAAAGTCCACTCCAAAACAGTGTTCATCAAAAAGAATGACTGCACACCACCCTTGTGTATTCAGAATCTCCTCAGCACTTGCCAGGCTGAATTGGCCATCACATCATAGATGGACCTCAAGCGCTTTATCTATGGACAAAGAAGGCTTGTTCACACCCACTCCGCTGTCACTTTACTGTCAGAGCACCGCTCGCTGATTCCCTCTCTGTAGATAATCCCGTTTGTCAATAAAACCACCGTCCTCTGTATTGTATCGAGTACCCGCTCCTCCAATACATTAAGACTCAAAGGGATAGATACAAACTTCCCATAGTGTAGCCAATAAAAACTTGCTTTATTAAACATTTTGAATAAACTCACATAAGAATTTGTTTATCACACCACCGTAATCATTGACAGTCATCGCTGAGCAAACAGCAGTTACATGATCACTCACTTTAAATTTGACCCTCTCCCAAACATTGCTCTTATGTGTCCATTGTACCATTTGTACACTATCAGTAAAAGGATCTTGGATAAACTGTGCTGTGTGATTTTTACATTTGTACTGGATAACATTTTGATAACACTTGCAGAAGCATGAGTTTAACCAGCAAGGATTTATACATTTACTGTGTATTCAGTAACAATGCAGGTTCTTATCCATAGCAGAGAGAAAACAATCACACTTGATCTGGCACAGCATGCCAGGAATGCTTTCTGTCTCTATAGGGTTAAAATAAACATACAGAAAAATGATTGTGGTTACCATTTGCTGACCTCTCTATCTGAAAATGCTAGATGCCTAGCTGCTACTCTGATCCAATGGCTTTAACACGTTTTAAGGCCCTGACATGACTTTGCTTTGTATGCCTGGCCTGATGTAGTGATTTAAAATAAAAAAAAGCTCAATTCCAGTATAAAACAAAAAAACTACGCCTTGCAATGAGGCTTTCCCACACTGCAAGGGTTATTTGAGAAATACTTTTCCTTACTTGATCCCCATTACTGCAGGCTTCCCCCAGGCTACAAGACTGGCACCCGCACCCTCTTCCACCAACGCTAAAGCGGTCAGAGGCCCACTGGTGTCATTATGTACAATGCAGGGCTATTTGTGAGGATGCGCAGTAACAGGCAACAAGCCAGAGCACAGGGAAGATGAGGGGAGCGCTGACTGCTGGGGGAGCTGGGATCAGATAAGTAAAACTGTTTTAACCAGGTAGACTTAAACAAGCATTTAACCCTTGCACTGTGGCGTCAGCCCCACT